AGTCATGGTGGCTTCCCCCTCAGTTAATATTAGGGTCATTGGTAAAATAAGAAATTTTAGTTGATTAATGAAACAAATGGTGCTGGAGAAGACTCTTGAGAGTCCTCTGGACTGCAAGGAGATCAAATCAGTCAATCCTAAAAGAAATCAACCCTGACTGTTCCCTGGAAGGCCAGATGCTGAAGCTGAAGCTCAAATACTTTGGCCACCAAATGACAAGGGAGCACTCACTGGAGAAGACCCTGATGCTGGGAAAGATTGAAGGTCAAAGAAAAAGGGGACCACAAAGGATGTGATGGTTAGTCAGTGTTATCGAGGCGACAAACATGAAATTAAGCAAACTCCAGAGCATGACGGAAGACAGGAGGGCCTGGCGTGATGTGGTCCATAGGGTCACGAAGAGTTGGACTCGACTGTGCGACTGAACAACAACAACAAAAAATGAAACAAATTGAAAAACTTTGGAGTATCACTAAGTTACTGGTACATGGAAATCAGTGCAAGATAGTCTGCAATTTATGTCATAGATTATTACAACGAAATCTCCTTTTGTCAAACATGCATAAGGTCTACTAGATTCAGTGTTCTATTTTCTGCTTTTTCTTTCTCTGCTTTCTTTAACAGAAACACCCCACAGGGAATCCTGAAAATGGCATGGCCAAACAGAGCATCATGACCAAGTTTCTTCTCTGGCAATTCTTTGAAATCCAAGATAATTTATACTTTGTGGCATTTTTCATCATATGTCTGGCAGCCCTGACTGGAAATCTGCTGGTGATGGTTGCTGTAATCTTCAACCAATATCTTCATACTCCAGTATATTTTTTTCCTGGTGAATTTAGCTACTATGGAGTTTGGTAATATCCCAGTCACCATAACAAAAGTAACTAGTTACTTTTTAGCAACCAGACAAATTACATATTCTGAATTTGTGGACCAAGTCATCCTCCTCCTTTTTATAACATTGGAATGCTTCTTCTTGACTCTCATGGCCTATGGCCAGTATGTTGCCAACTGCATCTCATTGCAATACGATCATCTTGGGAATAAAGTATCTTGTTTTCCAAGAGTAGCTAGAGTAAGGCTTTTTAGCCTCTTTAATGACCTTTTAGAAATCAACTAGATGTTTAGAAGTCAACTAAATTTTTTCATGAGTTTGTCATATTGCCACTCCAAGTCCCTGTGGCAACTTGTGCAAAAAGCACTGATGAACCCAATTTTGCTTGGGAGAGCAGTATGAGGAAAGGAAGAGTGCATCCCCCCACCACTGTTTTCAACAGCCAAAATGACCCAGGCAAACTCACAAAATGTAATGTCTAGTTCAGATCTTACACACTAGCTGTACATTTGTAATCACCTTCTGCTCCAAAGTTATGAACCAGTTCTTCTTTGAAAGCCTACATATATTCCTGAAGATCCTGCTGTTATCTTCCCTGCATTCTTATAGGGATAGTGAGTTTGGTTTATAATTGTTTCCTATTTCCAGATTTTAAGAGAGTTACTGAAGATCCCTTCTACACAAAGAAGGAACCTATTTACCAACTTCACTTGATTGTCCTCTTCTCATCAGTGGAAGCACTGTTTATTTGGTAGGCAATCATGTGTCTCCACCAGATTTAGGTCTTGTACTTGCTGTGTTAAATTCAGTCATTCTCCCTTTATTCAATGCTATCATTTACTGCATGAGGAATAAAGAGTTCATGACAGCACTTTGAAGGCTTTCAAGTAAAAATAAATTTGTCATTTTCACTTGCAAACTAACCACTTTTAACATTTCCCCCCCAACTCAGGATACACTGAGTAGTTTTTCAGAGGGGGAGAGCTACTCATTATACATTTCTAAGTTCTGAAGTTCAGAATTTACTTTGAAACTTATGTCTGTAGAACTCAGATACATAATAAATTAAAGTAATATCCACACAATAGCTTGCATTCATGCAGAAAGGAGTTCCCCTTTGACCACTAAAAAAGCTATGCTGGGAATCTTGGGACCAGCATGGACAAAAGCCATGTGGAATGGACACTGTAGTAAGGAAAACTGGAAGAAACTGAACAAAAAGGCTGGGTGGATCAGACCCATTGCCTTTACACTTGTCTCCTTGCAATGAAATGTCATAGGAAGAGGAATAATTATAGACAAAACCACACAAAACAAGACCATTTTGGATTCAGGTTTAATTTTTCTTTTCTTTTTATTAGAAACTTTCTGGAGTTAGGAATAATAATGTAACATTTGGGGAGAAAGGAGCCAATAGACCAATGTTGGAGGCCAATATGGCAAAAACCTTCCAAGCCACAATAAATTGCCCCTTGGTCCTCAGGTATAAAGAAGATTCCAATGCTGTAAAACAACAGCATGCTGACCAGAAAAGTTACAGTGAAGATCATGATGGCTGGAAAATCCAGGGAGCCCCATAAAAAGTAGAATATGGAGAAGGACACTTGATTACATTCTACTATGATTTCCCCATTATATGAGTGCATGTTGAGAATGGGAATGGAGTTGGGGTCACCAACCATATAATACAAATACAACAAAGGACAACCATGCTGCATGTGTGTTCCCCTAGCAACTTCCTCCTCCTGCTGCCTTGGTTTGAGGCCATGAAGACCAGGCCCACAATTTGTGCACATGGTTTTTTTTTTGCCAAAAACATAAAGAACTGCAACAGGGGAAATAATGCCAAAAGCCACTTGCCACAGAAGCTGTGTCATCTTTCCAGGCTTTCAAATGAATAGCAGGATGACAGTAAGAATACAATGTGGTTCTGGGTAGGGGTTTTCTTGGGTGGTGGTGGTGGAAAGATTTGTATCACCAATACTATAATCACTACAAAAGAAAAACCAAGGAAACCACAAAAATAAGGTCCATGAGGTGAGGGCCCTGTTGTGTCAGGACCATTTTGTCCCAACTACTAGGAATTTTGGTGGGGAAATACATAATCTGCCCATCAACTGGCAATTGCATTCTGGGGTTTCCCCAGCCCCTGACCTTTATTTATTTATTTAAAATATTTATTAGCCACCTGTCATCCTTACAGAGCTAAAGGCGATTTACAGTATAGATAAAACACATAAAATAAAATACATTAAAAAACATACAAGCCAAAAATGTATCCAGTGTGGGATTAGCCAGCCATTTTAGGGCCAAACAGGAGTTTTTGGCATACTTTCTGTCTGGATGTTGCAGGGCCCTTTTGTCTTGTTTCACACTGCTATGTCATGGAACAACCAGTTTTTTAAAAGGCCTGGCCATAGGACTGGGTAGGCCGTAAATAATGAAACAGCACTGATACAGTCCACTCCCATTATCTGACAGCCCTGACGCCATAAAAGTCCAGTAATATGCTTGAAAGAGGAGGTCAAAGGTTTAGACTTTCTTCACACCAGCACTATAGATTAGTAGTTTGTCTGGGTCTTCTTTTCAATTTCATTAAATGTGTACACAAATTATACAATTTCCACTTCTGAGCTTTGCTAGCCTCAGGGAATGAATCTTTGAACACTCAAACATTATGAATAAAGCTTCTTTCCAGTCAGATCTTTTGTTACTACTGCACTATTCTGAGGTGCAGAATATCAAATGGATAGAGTGACAATTTCTTCAGAAGTGGAACACTGTACAAAGGTACAGCAGAGAGGGTAAGAATGTGGTGTAACAAGAAATCTACAGGGAAAGCAAATCTTGTCAACCTACACAAACCCACATACCAACTGTGTTTCTCCTATCCAATCCTGATTTCTGTTCCATCCTTTAAAGAGGTGTGTTCCTCTTAGGTCACTGCCCCAAGTTTATGGAACAGCTTGCAGGAGAAGGTTAGTAGGCGACAGTTGGGTTATTTCTGTTCTGCAAAAAGACTTTGCTGTTTTCTGGGTTGTATTAAAATTTGTTTGCATTGTGTTGGCCAGATTTTAGCATCTGTGTTTCTGTGATTTTTGATTGTCTACATTCTGTGTTGTTTAAATTGGTATGCCAGCCAGTATACTGGGATGTAGGTCAACTTGAGCCTCTTTGGGGAGGAAGGAAGGAAGGAAGGAAGGAAGGCAGGAATGAAGGAAGGAAGGAAGGAAGGAAGGAAGGAAGGAAGGAAGGAAGGAAAGAAGGAAGGAAATTTCATTCCTTGGCTGTACTCATTTTTTCTTCCTTGTAGTCTTTTTCAGTATCTTATAATACCCACTCATGTAGCTTGCTATCATATGCTAAATGAAGAGTGGCTTCTGGCATACATATAAATATGAGAGGAAATGAGGGGGGTGGAACAACATTTCTACACATTAAGTTTTTCAGTGCAGTGAATGTTGGTCTAATTTGGATAGATGCCTTTAGACCATTTTAGTTAACCAGGTTTCAGTGTGGGTTCCACAAACTTTAAAAGGTTTTGATATGTAGCATATCTGGATTTCTAGAGAAAAAGGATCAATACCTTTGCTTTTATGTTTCACCAAACATATATTCCATTATCTGGACCAACAACCAACACCAACAAAAAAGCAATTTACAGACTTTGAAACCTTTTGGTGTTATTTGCTAAGGCATTGAGCCAATGCAATAAAGTTTATTTTTATGTTATTTATGTTATTTATTTATTTATTTATTGAATTTTTAACCCCACCCTCCCAGCCAAGGCCAGCTCAGGGTGGCTTACACAGAATCCGCACATAATTGCAATAGAACTTTACAAAAGTACTTTACAAAAGTAATGACTCAGAAACAGAAATCTGTCAGTTCTTTAGAAGGATTTTTAAGATGCTGAACAACATTTCAAAACATCAAGTCTTTAAGTGCAGTGAACTTTGTGTAATTTGGACAAATGACTTTAGATCATTTGAGTTAAACACAGTTCAGTGTAGGTTCCATGAGATGAACAGGACCTTGAGGATGTTGAGAAACATTTACCTTCATTGGTTCAGGTGACCAGACCTTATTTTCTGTCTGAACATGTAACTATTTTCTTGGCTGTTCCATTGCAGAGGCCACATCAGAATCTCCTGAGGAGGAAATGCCCAACAAAAGCACGATAACGTACTTTCTACTTGTAGGTTTTTCTGAAGCCCAAGAGGTGCAAAGTTTATACTTTATGATATTTTTCATAACTTATATTGTGGCTCTGATGGGGAATCTTATAATCATCACCATAATAGTTCTCAACCACCACCTCCATACTCCAGTGTATTTCTTTGTCTTAAATCTATCTGCTGTTGACCTTGGATACATCTCAGTCACCATCCCCAAAGTTATGGCCAATTCCTTAATGAAAACGAAGTGGATTTTGTATTCTCATTGTGTTGCCCAAACTTTTTCCTTTGTTCTCTTTGGAGCATCTGAATTCTTTCTCCTGACAGTTATGGCCTATGACCGCTATGCTGCCATTTGTCACCCACTGCATTATGAAACTGTCATGAACAGAGTTGCCTGTGTCCAAATGGCAGCCTTTGCATGGACATTTGGCCTTCTGACAGCAACTTTACATACTGGAGCAACATTTGCAAGCCCTTTCTGTTCCAATGTCATCAACCAGTTCTTCTGTGAAATCCCACAACTGCTAAAGATCACTTGCTCTCACATGTATCTCCTTGAAGTTGGAGCTATTATCCTAACTGGTTGCTTATATTTTAGCTGCTTCCTTTTCATCCTTATTTCATATGTGCAGATCTTCAAAGCAGTGATGAGAATCCCATCTGTGCAGGGAAGGCAAAAGGCCTTCTCTACCTGCCTGCCCCACATCATTGTACTTTTCATGTTCTATTCCTTTGGTGTCTTTGCCTACTTCCGACCAACCAACAGGACTCCATCAAAGGTGGATCTAGTGGCTGCTGTAGCTTATTGTGTCGTTCCACCATTCCTGAACCCCTTAATATATAGCATGAGAAACAAAGATATCAAAGGAGCTCTGTGGAAACTGATTGACTAGAGGTATTTTTCAATTTCACTTAGAAGTGAAACCATGGAAATTCTCAAAATGTCAATGCAATTCACAGGAAATAAAATAACGGCTATAAGGCTGGCTCAATTTTGGATGTGGAGTTAGATACAACTAGCTTTTCCATTGGTGAAAAGGGGCCAAGGGCCTCCACCTGCCCACTCAAATAGGCTATGCTACAGATCATTGAAAACAAGTGGACACATGACATATGGGGTAGGAACTGTAGCAAGGCGGATTGGATGAGATTGTGTGAAAAAGTCTGGCTGGATCCAACCAGTGTTGTTGGGGATTTTTGTTTGTTGTTTAGTAACTTCAAAGAATTTTTAAAAAGAAAATTCACCAAAATGCCTTGCATTATGTATACTTGCATAGTATTGGTAGTTTATAGCTATTACTTTCAATGGATATTTAGATTTTAATGGTTATTTTCATTTTAATGGATATTATCTTGTACTCTGCTTTTTTCATGATTGCCATAGCTGGAAGCTAACACAATAAACTGATTGCCACACATTAAAAAGTTGCAGGGAGTCAAGCATTTCAACATTTTAATTAATCTTGTATGATTTTGGGGGGACCTAGTAAAGTGTAGTGACTAGTGTCAGACTAGAACCAGGCAGTGGATAAATCCCATTAGGTTTGGTGAGATGTATTCACTACTAAGTGAGCTAAGAGATCTAGTTTAAAGCCCCATCTGTCCATAAAACTCACTGCATGACCTTACAGGACATTTGTGAGAATAAGTTGGGGAAGAAGAAGAGAAGAAGAAGAGATCGGATTTATACCCTGCCCTTCACTCAGAGTCTCAGAGCAGCTTACAAACTCCTTTCCCTTCCCCTCCCCATGACAGACACCCTATGAGGTAGGTGGGGCTGAGAGAGCTCTTTTCAAGAAGTTTTTTTTCAAGGACAGCTCTTGTCAGAACTATGGCGTGCACAAGGTCCTCCAGCAGCTGCAAGTCGAGGAGTGGGGAATCAAACCCAGTTTTCCCAGATTAGAGTCCGCACACCTAACCACTACACCAAACGGGTGTAGAGAGAAGCATGTAAACTGCCCCGAGCTCCTTGGAGGAAGGGGAGGATTATAAGGCAGTAGATAGATAGAAAAAATGCCTCCATAAATAGTGTTCCTAGCTTTGGTATACACTCTCATTTAACAAAAACAACAACAACAACAACTTTTGAACATCCCCAAGTGACCAAGAGGACCCTGTCAAATCTTTTACAATATCCAGTACAATTAACTGTATCTCTAATAATGAAGTGGCAAGCTTGTATCTATGCTAATCATGAAAGCAGCAAAACCAGGCCACCAAAGAACGGTTTCTGCACATTCGGGGACAGCTCCAGTTAGGCAGATTTTTTTTTTTTTGGGTAAATTGACTAAAAGGCAAGGGAGGCACCCAAAATGCCCCAGTGAGGACTGAGTATTCTCTAGAAGATAAGGAATGTTGAGAACTGTTGGAGGTCAGATAAAGGGAAAACAGAGACAGATGGGGAAACTGACAGCTCACAAACTTTTGGAGGAGAAGGTTGTGAGTGTCTTGTAGGAGGGCAGAGGGCCCAATATTTCCTCCTGCCTCCATTTCACAGTCCCTGCTTGCAGTTTGTCTAATACAGATGTATATTTTTAATATAACTCTATCCCTATTTAACTAACCAAATAATGTTTCCATGATATTTCTGTGCATTTCTGTTCTGAAAATGCAGGTCTTGGATTAACATGAGTGTTATATTGCAGGGGAGAGAAGGGAATGCCAAGCTTCAATGCAAGGGTGTGTGAATAAGGAGATTTTTATATTTAAGATTTCATAGTAAAGTTATTTGAAAAAATTGTTGTGTTTTTTTAAAATATGGATTTTATCTAATCAGCCATGTCAGGGGAATTATGTAGTCACAAAACGTGGGTGTGTGTGACTGCCTTTCTGTCTTCCCTAAGTAAAACCCCACTGTTTCTTACAAAACAGTTCTGAGTCAATAATCATGGTTAACTCCTTGTATCTCCCTTACATATGTGACTATCATTGATTATATACTTGAGCTTCAAAAAGCTTCTGACTGTGTCCTTCCCTTAATATTCCTGGGCAGACTTCGTAGCCATGGTATAAGTGGTCTTCTCATGGATTAGGAAGCAGATGTTAAGGACAAATGGACAGTTCTTACAATGAAGATAACTAAGCACGGGGATCCCCGAGAGAGCTGTATTGTTAAGACTCTTTAATTTACTCATAAACAATTTGGAATCAAGGGAGAACAGGTCAGTGGCCATACTGGCAGTTGACACAGTATATGAAACTCCTTGAGACAGAAACATCCTCTCCACTTGGGCTATCCCTTCTTTCATCCTCTCCAATAGAAACCAGGCATCAGAGGAATACATGGGATTCCTTTTTTAATGGCATCCCTTGCATTTAACAGAAAAATATTTATTTATGATTTATTTTATGCATTGTCTGAGGATCTCCTGGGATTACAACTGATTTCCAGGTGACAGATCAGTTCACCTGAAGAAAATGGCTGCTTTGGAAGGTGGACTCTATGACATTATACCCCATTAAAGCTCCTCCCTTCCCCAAACCCCTCAAAAATTCCATGTATCTCCCAACCCGGAGCTGGCAACCCTATGTCTAATAGAGTTACCAACCTCCAGGTACAGCCTGGAGTTCTCCTGGAATTACAAATGATCTCTAGACTATATAGAACAGCTCCCCAAGGAAAAAAACAGCAATTTCAGAGGGCCAGCCTTATCGTGTACCAGGGCTTTTTTTGTAGAAAAAAAGCCCAGCAGGAACTAATTAGCATAATAGGCCACACCCAACAACAGGAACTCATTAGCATATTAGGCCACACCCCTGATCTCACAGCTCATTAGCATATTAGACCACACCCTCATGTTACCACACTCACCTTTTGCTTCTCATTCTGTTTACTCTGTTTGTTGTCAAAACCGAGGGCTTTTTTTGGGGGAAACCCCCTGCCACAGAGCCCCGTCCCCCGCCGCTGGAAGTTCGGGTCCCGGGGGGAACCCCACCCTGGCATGCGCGTCACCAAGAAGTGACGTTATGATGCCAGGCACGCTGGGGGCGGGGCCACAACCATCCGAGAGGAGTCCCCTGCTGCTGAGGTAAGTTACACTTGGCAACCCTACCTGTGAGGTAGGTTAGTCTAAAAGCATGTGACTGGCTCAACTTCACCCAGTGAGCTTCCACAGGAAGACTCCAGCCCCAGACCCTAGTCTGAAGATGTAACGGTTACACCACACTGGCTTTCATTAAATAGCTGCTGTTGGACAGTGGCAAGCAGCCAGGCCTAGTTGAGTCATGTGAGTCAGCTGGTTTCAAGTCATCCAGTAGTTGCTGAAAGGCATAAGGTTGCCAACTGCCAGGAGGGACCTGGAGATCTCCCAGAATTACAACTGATTTCCAGATGACGGAGATCTGTACCCCTGAAGAAAAATGGCTGCTCTTGAGGGTGGGTTCTATGGCATTATATCTGGTTGAGGTCTCTCCCCTCCTCAAACCCCACCATCCCCAGACTCCACCCCCAAATCTATATGCATTTCCCAACCTGGAGCTGGCAACCATACCCAGGCCTGGCCCCAATGATTCCTTCCTCAAAGGCCAAAACAAGCCTGGCAAGGACCCTGCCCCTCCTCCTGTCTCTTACTTACAGAAACAAAGCCTGTGAAGCTGTAGTTGCCTAGAAACAGCCACTGAGGGAATCCATTTCTTAAAGCTACAGGACTTCCATTTACCATTTTGGTGTTTCTAAACCCCCCAGTGTATTTTTTCTCAAGTTTAGATATCACATCTTTCTGCAAACCTGAGGCATTTTCAGGTTTATAGAAAGATCTACCCTGCCCATTCCCTGCTTAGATCCTTAGATCTGGCGAATTTGGCTGTTAGAATATACAAATGGTGGCCTACAGGACTCGTGTGAGAGGACAATCCCATTCTCTCCACACTTGCTTGCTGACCCCTGTACAGCTCCCAGTCACTACCACAGCTTCCTACAGGCCCCATGAGGCTCCAGCTTACTGTGTCAGCCACCTTTGGGCCCTGTGCAGTTCCCAGAGTCCCCTGCTGCCTTGGCTAGGTCCTGCACAGCTCCCACACTCTGCTAGGTGGCCATGCCCCACACACTTGGCAGAGTCTGGAGGAGGTTTGCCAAGTCTTACCTATGGCTGCAGCGGGGGGAGTCCTGGCCCTCTCTGGGAGTTCCTTGACACACGTGCGAAGTGCGCTCACCGCAGTGACATCACCCAGAAGTGATATCATTGTGTCAGGCATGTTGGGGGCGGGACCACTATCATTTGAGGGGAAATGATAGAGTGACATGATGATGTCACCTCCAGGTGACATCATCACACCGGGTACTTTTGAGGCGATACCGACACTTTTGAGGTGGGGTTCCCCCCAGCGACCTGATCTAAGATGGTGGATAAGGGACATATCGAGCAGGTAAACCCCCGCCCCCCCAGGACTTGGCAACCCTAGTCTGGAGCAACTGTGACTGAGCTTGACATGGTTTCCGGTGTCCATTACCAACACAGCTGAGCCTGGCACAGCTCCCAGAGTCCACCATTGGTGAAGCCAGAACCAGTGAGACTAATGGATTCTGCCAGGTCAAGCACTTCCTTAGAATGTTCCTGTATCGTCTTGTTTCTTCAGGCCATTTGTAATTTCAAAGACAGATGATATTATTTTGCATACTATATAGCATGGATGAGAGACATTTTGGGGTCCTTGTTTTGAATTGTTGGCTGTACACAATTGTTGGCTGTATACAATTACTATACACCCCTATTTTTGTTATACTATTCTGTAAGTTTGTAGTTCATTTTTCACATTCTTTGAGGGTGCTCTTTTCTCCCCCTTGTGTTTTGGAGCAAGAAAGTTGACAGCTCTGAATGCTGGGCCTACTTTAATACCCATGAAGGAAAGAGGGATGCCTGTCCACCTCCCCCTTCTCTCCTTGGTGCTACTGTCC